GAAACACCCGGCCAGCCGTCGCCTCCCGTCGCGGCGGTTTATCCGCGCGAGCCGATTGGCTGAAGTTGAAATGGTTCATCTCGGCACGCTCAGCTCTGCGAGGTCTCGCAAGCTGAGGTGCCGAGAAGAAAGTGACATGACACACTGCTCGCAAAGCTCGATTGGAGCTGAGGGCCCCCTCCCCTGGTTAAGAAGGGAATTGCCTGATTTGACCTCTTGCTGGGGTCTATCAATAAGGTGAGCACCCCTATATCTGGTGTGGTGCATTTGGTGAAGGAACAAGAAATATTCATCACTATTGCTATATTTGGACATTTTTGCAGATTTATGAAGATTTAAAGACTTTACACCTGATTGATTTTTTTCACTGACATTTGCTTGAGTCACTGTTTTTTTTAATTCTCTTTATATCTGATCATTGTTGTAGCTCGGCACATTTAGTTATTCAGAGATCACTGCATCTACCTCCGGTGCAACCCACTTCTTGAGAACATCAATGGCAGATCCTCTGCAAAGGATACATCAAATCAGTTGAGGTACACACCTCCATATCAATGTCAGCTTCCTCCTCATCATTTGGCATGAAGACAGTAGCCATAGCTGCTTCTCTGAAGCTGACTCTGGAAGAGAGGAAAGGGGGAGACTATAAACGACCTGCTGGACTGACCGGAAGTGACGTTGGTGATGTCACTTCCGCCTTCAAGTAAGCGTCGCTGATGGGGCCCCAGCTTGTCTCGAAGCAGTTGGGGCCCTGCACTGCTAGGGCCAGGCCTCCACCGCTGCTGCGGGGGCCCGGCCGCCTCCTCGCCCTTCACCATCGGCCGATACTCATGTATGGGTCCCGGGCGGGCCCCTTACATGAGTATCGGCAGTACCCCCTGATGGCGGCCCTGCGTACAGTTCCAGAAGTCGGCCGAGCGGCTCAGTCGAGCCGAAGGTACATTAAAGAAAAGCAACAAGACCAGCGGTGGCCTATTAGACAGACCACCAGGTATAGAGTTCCCAGGAGGAGTGATAGAAATACTCCCCTGCCCATAGTAGCTTACCCACCAGGCAGTGTGTGACCATCCACGTGGACAGGCGGTAGGGAGACCCCTGTTCGCACCTTAGCTTTGCTCGCTTTGAACAAGCACACTCCCTCCTCCAGAAGGGGTTCTTTAGCAATAAGGTCCAAGAAGTGGGGTCCAGGTATGGCTACCAATATTCTTGCTGTGGGTCACTGACCCAAAAGCTGCACGATTATCACCATGATAGCTCTAGCAAGTGTCCATTCGCCTGATGATACCTGCATATTACCCTATCTTCTCTGAATCTGAATCTGTCTATATTCTTGACAAGGGTATATTAGAGGGATACCGTTCTTACCTGCAACAACCTTGCTTACCGTGGCCTGTCCCCCCACCACACTTACACTCCCTTGTTCCCAAATAAAACACGCCAGACCTATATGGAGTTTAAAGGCCACAGCAGCCAACTTTTCTTTAATTAAATATAAAACTTTAATACAAAAATAAAACCAAAATATTCTCTGTAAGACACAACAGGTAAAAAACCACAGTGTAAACAACAGTTTTACATCTCCCAGGTTTCCGGGTCCCTGAAGGCACATATTGTAACAAGAGAAAAGGAACACCGCCCCATACCAAATGTGTCTACGGCTTCAGATGCCTAATACTGTGTCCCCAGCCGCAACACCACCGCCTCGGGGACGTCTCTCTGCCAACCGTAGACCCATCCAGCCCAAAGTACTTGCTCGACCCTTGAGCACCACTTAAACGGACACCCACACCTGTTATGGGTCCCCAACAAAACATTTTGCATAAAAAACTGCGGTATCCCTGCTACCTTCAAGGACCCCAAACCGCCCACGACTGCCATGACGAAACCAACTGGAACCTAGACAGAAACAAATTCAGAAATTAACAAACATCGCATCCTAGGGGCGGGCGGGCAGGCGGGAATTACTTTCTCCTGTTGAAATCCTCCTCAAACTGGCCTCTTCCTGTCTCCTCCCCAGGATCCCCACCCTCTCCCAACTAGTCTCCAATCAGGAGGAGACCACTCCTGCCTTGTTTTCCTTCATTCCTTCATTTTCAATTTAACCCCTTATCTCCCTGTCTCCCCTTCTCCCCCTGTCATGCTGTCCCTCCGCACAATTCCCTTTCTTCCTTGTGCTCCATGACTTTCTGTCTTGTACGATGAAGAAATGCTACTTTTTTAAAGTGTAGCAATTAAGAAAAAAATATTTCCACCAAAGTATTTGCTCTTTCAAATTTAAAAATATTCTGAAGGTTTGCAGTGACACCATCTTTGTTGTTGTTGTTGTTGTTGTTGTTGTTAACACAACTAAGCATTGCACATTGTAATTCAGTCCAACAACACAACATCCCACACACCAGCTGATCTGCAAATGCAAAAATAATTGGCTTTAATCTAATGACTTTTATGTATTGCTTTTCAGGTTGGCAGCAGAAGAGTGGTTCAATATGGTGCTGGAATTATGTTTATTTTAGGAACAATTGGAAAGTTTACTGCTTTGTTTGCCTCTATTCCAGATCCCATTCTTGGTGGAATGTTTTGTGCTTTATTTGGTAAGTAAAAAAAAGCACAATTAAATGAATTATAAGTATTATCTCCTATTACTTAGAAAGCAGTGGCAAAATACCCAGTAAACAGGTCCCTATTAGCATCAGTCCCAGTTCATAAGAAGCTCATCAGTAATGTGTAAAACGTATGAAAACATAAACATACTGTTGCTTAACAGTACCATAGAGTACACAGAGCTTACACGTATTAAACTACTATATTTTTGTAAACTATAGCCAAAGATATCAGGTAATGTCATTAATACTTCAAACTGTATTGCACTTGTATTTTACTAGTATTTTGAGGCCTTGTTCACACCAAGCGCGTTCCAGGAGCAGGGCAGAGCTAACTGACCGGATCAAAACTGCGTCCAATGTATTCCAATGGTATTTTGGGCTCTAGTTCACACCGCAGCGTTCAGTTCCAGAGCATGTAAAAAAACTGCAGCAAGCCCTATTTTACCTGCTCTGGAACGCTCTGGAACACATGCAAACGCATCTAAAATGCATGCAAACACTCAGGAACGCATTAAAAGGCCATTCTAAACTTTAAAAAAAAAAAAAGATTTTTTTTTTTAACCAAAAACGGCCCGGAGCACATTTAAAACATGGCAAAAAATACTGCAAAATTCACTGCACTGCGTGTGCAGAAACTCATGCAGATCTGGTCTGCATTTGGTGTGAACAAGCCCTTAGGCATTGTTCACACCAAGCGCGTTCCAGATGCAGAGCAGAGCAGTCACAGACCAGATCAAAACTGCGTCCAATGTATTCCAATTGTATTGTGTGCTCTAGCTCACACCGCAGCATTCATTTCCAGAGCATGTAAAAAAACTGCAGAAGCCCTATTTTGCCTGTTCTGGAACGCATGTAAACGCATCAAAAACGCATGTAAAAGCCCTGGAACGCACTGAAAGCCCAGTTTAAGCTAAAAAAAACGGCCCGCAACGCATCAAAAATGCGGCAAGATCGCGGCACAACCCACTGCACTGCGTGTGCAGAAACTCATGCAGATCTGGTTTGCATTTGGTGTGAACAAGCCCTAAATGCACTGCAGTAATACTTCAGCTGGGCTGCACTAATACTGCATTTGCACTGTAATAGGGCAGTTTTTTAATGTCCAAAAAACTGCATTTTTTTACATGTAACAAAAACTGCAGTATTACTTCTAAAAAACTGCAGTATTTATTGTAAGGGAGTGCTTCTTGTTATAGACAGCAATTGCATCCCTTCTGCCACACCTCCTGACATAACTTCCTGTTTGATCACTATAAAGCTGGAAGGTTCCAGAGAGAGAGTGCTCAGTCGTTTCAGCGCTATCCACTGTGTGTTCTGTTGCTATCCGTGCAATTCTGTTTACCTGAACTTTAGGATATTTGCAATCTGTGCCGGATTCATCTCTTGAGTATCCTATCCCAAGGTGTGTGCCCCTGCTATTGGGCTCTACATTTTCAATTACTAACAGTAAATGGCTCTATTGTAAAGTCACACCTTCCATAAATCATAGGAGCCAGTGTTAGCTCTTTTAACAAAAAAATTACCTTTTTTCAAAGAGATATTATTAGTAGGGATTAGCAAATCTGCTTAGGTTCAATTCCTGGGGGGGGGTGTTGAAACCTGCTTGAAGTCCAATAAACGCTTAACTAAAAACAACTTTGAAGTCTATGGAAAGTGAATGTTGAAACAAAATTTGGCACTGATATGGGAGACATTTAAAAAAACAAATAATTTTTTTCAAAATACCGTATAATTTTTTTACAAATGTGACAGGCTTGGGAGATGCTTTTAAGCTATACATTTAGCATGGCTTAAATAAATCAACAGCACACAAGCAGTTGAATTCTTTAGCCACTGGGTTACGCAACTACCTTCAGGAGATCGGGCAGTGGAAAATCAATCAAAGATGCAGGAGAGGGCTGCATAACAACTCCCACTCCCATCCTGCCTCAGTTTTTTTGCAAGTGTTAGGCCTGTCCAAAAGAAGAAATATTGACACCGGCACTCCAATAGCAAATCATCTACGTCTATTTATTTGACATATGAGCAGCATAGCATGATATACTCAGTGCAATGTTTCGGGGTCTCACAGGATCCCCTTCATCAGACAGAACAGGTGATGCAGATGCAAGTGAAAACACATGACTATATACACACCATAATGTAATGCAGGGATGGCCAAAGTGTGGCCCTCCAGCTGTGGTGGAACTACGAATCCAATGAGGCTTTGCAAGATTCTCACAGCCACAGACATGACTCCCGGAGAGAGATGCTTCATGGGATTTGTAGTTTCACCACAGCTGGAGGACCGGAGTTTCCTGCTACAGGGGCGGATCCAGAGTCTATTCTCGGGAGGGGCACTGCCAGAAAATAAAGTTTTGCTTACAGAACGGTTAATATTTTATTTACGTATCATACAGTCCTAACCTTGTTTAAAACAGTGACACATTTATAATTACAGATTACAGATTTTTACATGACAGGGAGACAGAATATGTTTGACCACAAATAACTTTATTATCACAAAGATCATAAGCAGTTTGTATACTTATAACAGAATATTCCCAGGCAAAATATTCACAAACAATATAAAATGCTATTTAAAAAACATGTAGCAAACCCAAACATTATCAATCTCTAATCACGCACAATAGAAACAGATTATTTGTAAATTACATAACATGAAAAATCCACAGAATTAGCTCAAGTCTTTGTTTTCCTTGCTTGGCAAACAGCTCGATGACTTGGTCAGTATTCACAGGAATATCTCTGTGAATGTAAAATAGATGCTGTTGAGCTACTGCTTGAGCATTTCCATTGAGATATTGCTGATAATGCACTCACCACTTTTACAAGCCCATCTCGAAATCTTATAAGAGAATCATGGCGCTCTACCCATCTAGTTTCACAAAGACTGGTCAGTTGAGAGCCTAGCTCCTGCTTTAAAAACAAATGACGCTTTCCTGATTGATTAAAGAATTAAATGGCTGATTTGACCACTGCTACTGCATTGCGAACTGCTGCCACTTGTGAGGACTTTGAAATTGAATTGTTCAGAGAATGGTTGTAGCAAGGACATCTGCAACTGTTGGGTGCTGCATGAAGAATTTCAGATACAGCACCAGCCACCTCTGAAGACATAACACTGCAACTGTCTGTTCCAATGCCAACACAATGAGTGATGTCCAGGGAGAGGTCTTTAATAAGTTGTATAAACATCTGGCCTAAAACTTGTCCTGAGAAATCTTATAAGAGAATCATGGCGCTCTACCCATCTAGTTTCACAAAGACTGGTCAGTTGAGAGCCTAGCTCCTGCTTTAAAAACAAATGACGCTTTCCTGATTGATTAAAGAATTAAATGGCTGATTTGACCACTGCTACTGCATTGCGAACTGCTGCCACTTGTGAGGACTTTGAAATTGAATTGTTCAGAGAATGGTTGTAGCAAGGACATCTGCAACTGTTGGGTGCTGCATGAAGAATTTCAGATACAGCACCAGCCACCTCTGAAGACATTGAGTGATGTCCAGGGAGAGGTCTTTAATAAGTTGTATAAACATCTGGCCTAAAACTTGTCCTGTAAGCCTTGGTTCTGAATCTGAATCAGTTCCTGATTTATTCTGGGTTGCAAATTCATAAGCATCTACAAATTTTACAAACTCTTCGCGAATAGATCCATTGTATACATATCTAAAGTTGAGTGAAAGTTGTTCTGTATGGGAAATATCTGTAGTTTCATCAAAGATTACACTAAAATAGCAAGTCTCTTTAATTCTAGCTACAATGATATTGCTGATTACATCACCACAACACCTGATTAACTCATTTTGTGTGGATTTGGAAATGTAAGTAGCACGGGAAGATGCAGTAAGGAGGTGCTTTTCTAACATTTTGTCTCCAGATGCAACTCGATATCTCAGCAATTCCCGAAAGTCATCCATTAAAGCGCCATCATCTTGGTGGCCACGCAGAGGTATATTTTTTTCTACCCAAAAATATAATAGACTAAATAATAGCCAAATTCACTCTCGATTCTTCTTCACCTTCTGAAGACGATGTGTGTTTATTTGATTGACAATTTTGTGATCTGGTGAATGGTAGGTTTTTAAAAATGCCTTTCCTTCAATGACACTCTCTTGGTGATAAACAAGTCTTGAATGGACTTCCAGCAGGGGCGGACTGGGCCGGGGGACAGTGTGGCAATTGACCCCCGGGCCTCTCTGGTGCCTGTAAAAACGGCCGCCAGCACAGCGGGAATCTCCCCTCTCGGCCACTCGGATCCTGCAGAGGAGGAGGAGAAGAGGCTCTTCAGCTGCCTGTGATAAGCCCGTGTAGTGCTTGAGCTCCTCGGCAGCTGCCTCCGCCCACTTCTTCTGCTATTGGCTGGAGGGAGACTGCACTTCTACTGACTGTCTGCCTGGGTCCTGAAGGGAGGACAGCAGGAAGTGGCTGGAATCACCTCCAAA